ACACAGCTGTCAGCGCTCCAAAGAGCCCACTGAGAGTTAAACCTTCGCTCCACCCCAATCAATAAGCTCATATGTGCTGAAACCGGTTTGGCTCAGTGTGGGCAAACTTTTTGACTCGAGGGCCACAATGGGTTCTTAAACTGGACCGGAGGGCCGGAACAAAAGCATGGATGGAGTGTTTGTGTGAACTAATATACATTCAAAGTGAACATAATTACATAAAAGGGTACGGTCTTTTTTATCAATAGTTTTATTCATTTCAAACGGGCCGGATCCGGCCCGCGGGCCGTAGTTTGCCCACGGCTAGGTTAGTCTGTGGATGTAACTTTACAAAGTGAAGTCTACTCGCTTCTCTCCGAAGGTTTCTTCGTGCTAGAGGTCGGGAGCAGTTCGTGGTCAGGATGCAGTCAAAGGGTACGCAGCAGCGCTCCCGCCAAGCACTGCCATCCCGTCGTGTCTTTAGCTTCTCCCTCCCACTCGGTCCGGTAGCGGGACCCTCATCGAGCCTCCCAACCCTTTATTCTCTCTTCTTGGCCCCAAAACTGCCGGGGCATGAGCAATGTCACAGCACACGGAGGAAAGCCCCGTTCAGCACAGTATTATTCGCTGTGATTCTGTGAAAAGCCGGCGTGACCTGTAGCGTCTTCGTTTTTCTTTTATGTCTTAGTCATGCGTTCAGGCCCAAACCCATTGTTTTATTTTTTTTAAATATATTTTATTGATTTTTTACAGAGAGGAAGGAAGAGGGATAGAGAGTTAGAAACATCGATGAGAGAGAAACACCAATCAGCTGCCTCCTGCACACCCCCCACTGGGGATGTGCCCGCAGCCAAGGCACATGCCCTTGACTGGAATTGAGCCTGGGACCCTTCAGTCTATAGGCCGACGCTCTATCCACTGACCCAAACCGGTTAGGGCTCAAACCCATTGTTTTAATAAGACAAATGGATGCTTAAAAAGTCATCCTGACTCTGAGGAAAACTTCCCCTTCACCTCAGAAGTTCTATCACGCTGTCCCAGGGAACCAGAGTTCAGCTGCCCGGGGCTGTGTCCTGGCGGCAGGGAGGGCTGAGTGTGGGCACATGCATGTGCTGCAGCCTGCCGCGTTCCCTGGGCTGCCCCTCCCGCTGGCCCCCGGGACTGTACCCCAGTCTGCCTGGGCGGCGATGAGCGCCTGGGATAGGCCGGAGGCAGAGAGCCTCCCCCAGCACCTGCCAGAACCTGCTGTCCTCCCCCTGGGCGGCGGTTACCCTCGGCTGTGTCTGGTGACTTCTGCAGGAACACAGGCCGACGAGCCGGGTGCACACAGACAGGCACCAAGGAGCACAGTCGGCAAAACCAGGTCATCTTCCTGCTCTCTTTCCTTCTATTGGCCCCAAGCCACCCGCTAGTTCCAGCGTGACTCGGTCTGAGGCCGTTCCACGTGAAACCCGCCCACTGTGGACTTTCGAGACTCTCTTCCGCGTGGCACCTGGCTGTGGACCCCCAAAAGGAAAAGGGTCGCGTCCCCTCCAACTCAATGCACATTTCTGAATAAAAAATCCTGCCTCGTATGCGCTCCCTACTCGTCCTTCCTTCCCTGTGGTTATGACCTCCTGTATGGGACACAGGGCCCTGTTCCACATAGAAACGGCCAGCAGAGTTCCCTGATCCAGGTGAACAATAAATATTCGCTAGGTCAATAAATTCTCCCTTTTAAAAAAAACATGTATTTTCTTATTTCAGAGAGGACAGGAGAGGGAGAGAGATAGAAACATCAATGATGAGAGAGAATCATTGATCAGCTGCCTCCTGCACACCCCGTACTGCAGATTGAGCCCAAAATCCAGGCATGTGTTCTGACCGGGAATCAAACCCTGACCTCCCGGTTCTTACGTAGGTCAACGCTCAAATGCTCAACCACTGAGCCACATGGGCCAGGCTCTCATGCTTTAAATGATGTGAAACTTACCACACATGGTAGTGTGAGGGCAAAATTCACATAAAACAGAATGTATCACTGATACCAAATATTTAGAACATGGATCCACCAGCCAAATGCACTGGACTAACTTCACGCATCCTTGGAAGTAAGGCCTACAATATTTGAAACCAGTAACATGAACATTATCTTAGGATCACAGAAATGACTAGTATGATACATAAAAGTAAACAAAAAAGAAAACACGTTTTACATTTTTACACAGGACTTTGGGTAAGTAAATGTGAAGTGGGAAAAATGGACTCTGGAAACGCACCATAGAGCCACCCTAAGGGGACAGTCATTTCCCACAGACACTGACTGTGACTTACCCCCGGCCAACCTCCCACTGGGCTCTGCACACTCCCAGGCGTCGCCCCCCCAGGCGTCACCAGGCCGCCGCCTTCGCTCCCAGAGTAACCCAGGCTTGGCGCCTCAGCAACAAGCTCCATCACACACCGTCACCCAGCAGCCTCCCCAAGGAGCTCCGCCCAGGCCTACAGCTCAGTCTCCGCTTCTGCAGTTAGTGATGAATGCATTGGCGCCATGGTCTCCTCTGG